GCATTGTCGAGCACAGATCCACTGAGAAACTTGCTGTTTCAGCAACATTGAATTTAAAAATTGTAATCATGAGGTTAAACAAATTGTCATAATTAATTTCAAGAAATTACAAGTTAAGCAGGGCATTCTCTTTTTGTATCAAAAATATATAAAACACCGTGAGACTAAAGTATCGAACTGAACCGAATCAGGCTACATGTCTGCTGTGTCCTGCTGCAGAATGACATGATTTGTGTCATGTGCAGCCATGAAGGATTGTGTACTAAGTAATCCAGTGTCAGATTTGTATGTAGTTATGCTTCTCATTCAACCACAGTTAAATTCACTCCATCCATGAGATACAATTCATATGGATAGTATTTTTTTACTATAACAAGCCATAATACATAACACACACCAACATAATTCATTGAAAACAATGAAATAAAAGTAACAACTTTCTACTACTTGCCTAAAAATGTAGGAGTACAAAGTACAGATAACTGTGTGAAAATGTAAGATGTAGAAGTAAAAAGTAGGCTGAAAAATAATTACTGAAGTAAAGTACAGATGCCCAAAATTTCTACTTAAGTACAGTAACAAAGTATTTGTATTTAGTTACTTAACAACTCTCACAGTAATTAAGTAATTTTTCCTAAAGTTAAAATACTTTTCTGACTTTATGGTTTACTTTGTTAGAGTGATTAAAAAATGTTTAGTACAATAATTATATCCTAAATTCCATCATCATGATTGTAAATATAAATCTAAAGACTGTATTATTTAAAGACATGGTTGATAGTTTTCTTTCTTTTTTTTATCCAAATATATTTTTTTTTCAGATGAGCGACTACACAACAAAAGACACAACGAGACACTTGTGGACCGTAAAGCACTCACTACGTCACGGCTGAATGAGGTTTTGCACTCGGGAATGCAGATGGACACCAAAAGAAAACAAAAACTTTTAACGAAACAAAACAAGAAGCTGACGCGGCAGCAGTCCGCTGAGGAGAACTGGACGTGGTGAGTGGACACACAATGGTCAGCTCGCAGGTTGAGAGAAACAGAAGGGTCTGATGGGAAGAGTGGCTGCAGCTGTGACTAATGAAACCAGGAACAGGTGTGAGTGGACACACTGAGGAAACTGATGGTGGAAATTACCGAGGGAAGCGACTATATGCTTAGAGGAACACAAACAGGAAACAAGTGGGAGAATAAGAACACAAACTGAAAACTGAAAACAATCAAAAATACACAGTTTTTAGATCGATTTTTGCAAATATCAAAGATGTTTATTTCTTATATTGAGCTTTTTCCTCTTTAGCACAAACCTAAACCTTTAAACTTACAGATTCTATTATAAAACATATTTTGCTGACAGAATGAGAGTGATTTCTCTCACAGGTTTAGATGTGACTTACATGAGTCCGACTTAAAAGAAATGTAAAAACATTAGCTTTAGACAATTTTACTAAAGGAACAATGCATGCCGAATGTTTTAATGGTTTCTTCTCAGAAAACATATAWATTTTGGTGAGAAGCTGCTTTCGATGCATTATAAATAGGAGCAGAACGGAAATTCTGCTCCTGTCTCCTCTTGTCCAATCTGCTGTTCAGTTTCTGCTCCACAAACCACATTTCCTCTGAATACAGCCGACTCTGTGTCCTAAAACTGTAATATTGACTTCAACACAACAGGCAGGGAATTGATTTTCCCCTCACTTTATTTATGACGGAGTCAAACCTTTGGGGGCCAAAGAATAAATAAATAAATAAATAAATAAAAGCTCACGTTTTAGATCATGTTGCTGAGCTGAAAATACAGAAGGATCTATTTTGACTCAAAGTGAGTCTGACAACTGTGGGGCAGGAGTGGACGGAGCAGCCGGGACTCAGCGAGTCTCGCAGGATCCGTGATGACAGCAGAACATCTGAGTGACACCGGAAACACGTGGAAACAGAAAACGGAGGTCATCGTTTGAATAAAAATCAAAAGACCCTGAGCTTCTGGCTTATTAGCTGACGTTATTTTCACTTTTTGTTAAAGGTGTGCTGTCAAATTGAAATGCAAAACCCCCCAGCAAAAGGTTCAAACATGGCAGGAAAAGGCTGTTTTAAAATAACAGGAAATTCAGTAAAAGAAGGAAATGGGAGATGAAAGGGAATCTAAAATGATTTTGACTAAAGGTACAATCAAACCATCAGAGCTGGAGGCCAGAGGCAGAAACTGATTCAGAGGTAAAGTGCGCCCTCTGGTGGTTGGAGGAAGAATTATCTGCAAATTGCTTTTATTA